AACACATGGTGGCTCTAAGGGCTGAGGAACTGGCAGAGCAGCCCCAAAGGATGCACAGGAGCACTGAGAATGAAGCCAGCAGTTTATTAGGTGTCCATTTGACTGCTGGGTTGGTTCTACCTCCGCACAAGCATCCCCACAACAGGCAAGGCATGGTGCAAAGGCTCCTGCTGTTCCTGCAGAGGAGATGGAGCCGGGGCAGCCTGTCCTGGGCCAGGTCCCTTGGCACAGAGAGCTTCTCAAGCAGCTCTAGACCTGACTCTCTCAGGATGGCACTGCAGGGCTTTGGCACAGATCGCAGTCCAGGCACAGGGGATCAGAGCCAGGATCAGAGAGCCCAGGGCTGGCAGCAATGGGAGAGACCTCAGAGGTGTCAGTGCTCAGCACCAAGCAGAGGCTGCAAGGAGATATGTGTGAACCTTCAGCCCATGCTGCCTGCCACCCCCACCCTGAAGATAAGCCAGCTGGGGCTGTGGGGGCCAGGGGCAGACCCCCAGCTCAGCTCCTCAAAGCCGTACTGGGAGCAGCCCCACAGCAAGTCAAGTACCTGGTGAGTGTCAAGGGAGTCGGCCTCTGGGCGCTTCCAGCTGGGCTTGGCCAGGGCATACAGCACCAGCATCCCAAACAGGATGATTAGGAGCCCCAAAATGTTTGCAAATACGGCCTCAGGGGGAAGGAGTTTGTATGGCACCGACGCTGTCCCATTCTTCCTTTGGAGGAGAATCACAGTGCTCATCTCACATGATGCCCTGGGACTGTGGGCTGAGCTCCCACCTACCCTTGTAGCTCCATAACACTGCTCCCATGGTCACCTGTCCCAAGGGTGCTGTCCCAGTCCGCTGACCCAAGATGAATGCTGCACCAGCTACAAGCGGCCAGTGTATGTGGCAGCATGGCTGGAGGTGACATCTGTGGAGTTAAACCCTCCCAGAAAGCCTTCCTGAACTGCCCCGTCTTCCTCTCAGCCCACATAATTTATTACCCAGGAACTGTGCACCTGGCATGGGGGGAAATCATACACTTCCCTTAACTAAGCCCACATTTAGTTTCACTCAACGCCAGCGTAATCACAGAGAGTCAACACGCAGCCCGAATCCCCAGCACTCACAGGCTGAAGAAGAGCTTCTCATTGATGCCTGACACACAGGAGGCCATGGAGAGCATAATGATGGTGGAGCCAAAGAAGACGTGGATGGGCTTGTAGAGGGTGCGGAGCCAGATGGGTGCATAGGGCAGCAGGAAAGCACTGAAGCCAGCCACCCACTGTGGGGACAAGAGATGAGGAGGGGTGGCACAAGAGGCAGGGATGTGGGGTGTCAGGGCGAGCACTCACCTGGCAGGAGAAGAGTAGTATGGTGCCCAGCCCCAGCCAGCTGTGCAGCGAGTACATGTTGGGCGTTCCGCTCGCATTGTGGAAGTTGAAGACAGCCACCAGTCCCAGCACAGCAAGGATGAAGGCTGTCAGTGCCAGCGTGCTGTGCAGCATCTTCCAGGGCAGCTTGGGGCCACGCCAGGTGGGGGGTAGGCGGTACACCAGAGCCGCTGGTGGGTGACAGTGTCAGGGAGGGACAATGGGACGTCGCCCCACCCCGCACACGCTGCTTACCTGCTCCATACAGCACCACCATGCCTGTCACCATCAGCACCGGGTGCCAGTTGAACATGCGGGCGCTGCCATCCCAGGCGAAGCCACCTCGCCAGTGCTGGCACCACGCACTGACAAAGGCCACGCAGCCCAGACCCAGGCTCCCCAGGAAGGCGCAGAAAGGCAGGAAAGGCAGATCCAGCATCACCGCAGCAAGTTGCAGGGTCCTGGGGGGAAAACAGGAGCTTTCAGCCTTCCTGGAGGCTCCCTGCTGCACCTGCTTAGTTGGATGCAGGCACACTGGGGAGGAGCCACCCGAAAGGGGAAGCAGCTGCGGTGGGGAGGGTGGCCCCATCCAGCGGGGGCAGGCAGGCAGGAAGAAACGTTCTCTGCGGATCCCCAGCAGCCCAAAACTGTCCCCAGCACCTCTAAATCCACCCTCAGCACCCTCAAACCGGAGCCTAGCACCTTCAAATCCCACCCCCAAACCCCCAACGTGCCCCCAGCACCCCCAAATCTGGGCCCAGCACCTCCAAAGCTGTTTCCTGCGTTGACAAAGCTGCCCCCAGCGTCCCAAAGAAGTGCAGCCCCACAGCCCCAAGAAGTGACGGACAGGCACGGGGCCGCGCTTATTTGCCTCGGGATTTGCATCTGTCCCCAGAAATAGATATTTTTGCGTCGGGGGAAACCGCACCTCAACCCCTCCCGGGACCCGTTGGGCCCCACCTCCCCTTCCCCTTCAGCAAGCGCCGCCATGTTGGACGGCGCCGCTCTAGCGGCCCGCCTCTGTGGTGGTGTGGTCGCTGCCGGGGTGGAGGCCAACGCGACCAACGAGAGCTGTGGGTAGAGCGGCCCCCTCGCGCTTCCGCCCCCGCTTCCGTCTGCGGTTCCCATGGAGATGGACAATGGTGGCCGTGGGTGAGCATTGGGCCGCGGTCAGGGCCGGAGGTGGACGAAGCGGGGACGGCGGTACCGAGAGCGGCATGGAGACGAGACTGCGGGGCTCCGTGGCTGGGAAAAGGCCCGGGGGAGCGCCCCTGTGGACCTCCATGGGGAGGGAGGCCGCGAGCCGGGCTGGGCGCGGTGTGGGGTTTTGGGAGCGATTCTCAGCTTCGCGACTCTTTGTGGCAGCGATACGGGCAGTTCCCGTTCTCCTGGCCCCCGTCAGCTCTGGGCAGTGCCTTACCTGTGAGAGATGGGAAGGAAGGCTCTGGCTCCCTTCTCGTCCCCACACCTGTCTCCTCCTGTGCGAGCTGCCCCAAGCCGGGAGCATGCGGCTGGGGTGGGGCAATGGACAGCAATGCTGGGTCATGGCGTGCTCCAGCCCATTCCTATGGCATGGCCTGGGGGAGCCAGAGGCAGCAGTGTGCCAAACGCTGTTGGGATTTGTCACGGCTTTGACTCTGTTTTGGGTTTGCTGGCTGTGCCCAGCCCTACAAGCTGAACTCTGCTTCCTTCAGGTGCCAGCTGTAGGGAGCAGCGATGCCGAGCTCCTAGCCCTGTGCCATGAGCTGCCCTCAGCGCTAGGGATGCTGGGGCTGAAGGCTCAAGCCTCCACCAAAGGAAGATGCTCCAGACCAGCAACTACAGCTTGGTGCTGTTCCTGCAGTTTCTGCTGCTTTTCTACGACCTGTTTGTCAATTCCTTCTCGGAGCTGCTCCGCACAGCTCCTGCTGTCCAGCTTGTCCTCTTCATGTGAGCACCAGGGTAGGAGGTCCGGGCTCTCCCACATAACTCTCTCCTCTCTCTTACTGCATCTCTCTTCTTCTGCAGCATCCAGGATATTGCCATTCTCTTCAATGTCATCATCATCTTCCTCATGTTCTTCAATACCTTTGTCTTCCAAGCTGGACTGGTCAACCTTCTCTTCCACAAGTTCAAGGGGACCATCCTCCTGTCGGCAGCCTACCTGGCACTCAGCATCTCCTTCCACGTCTGGATCATGGTAGGCTCAGGGCTGCCAGCTTCACAGCTCGCTTCTCTCTTCTGTCCCTCCCCTGTGAAAGGAAGGCCATAATCTCCCACTTGTTATAGCTATTGGGCTACCTCATCTCAGCCCCAGCCTCAGCACTGTGACCTGCTTGAAAATCCGCAGGGAAAGCCTTGCACAGAAACTCACCACACCGGAGTAGTCTCTGCTGAAGGCCAGGGGACTCCTGCTTTGTTTACCTGGGATGAATCCCCTGCAAACACCAGCACTCAGGCTGGAGGCAGCCCCCTCCCTGCTGAAAACAAGCCCTAAGGGTCCCTGCTGTGTCCAAGCAGCCCCTTCTTCCCCATTTCAGCTCCCCCATCCTGTGCCACAGTCACCATTTGTCAAGCAAAGCGGCTGACAGGTGCTTCCTGTATGCTCTTCAAGAGGGCTTGGGGAGAGGGTCCATTCTGCTACCCCAGGGCCAGTTTGTGACTGAAGCGACCCAGGGATGTTGTACCCACACTGTCTGGACAGCAGATTGGTGGGGATTTGCAGGGATCTAAAGTCTGAAGCAAGAATAGGTCCTGACTTCCTGGCCAAATCCCCTGAGCTGCTTAACCTTTGGAGCTGGCACCAAGAGCACAACAGCCCTTGTGGGGCTAGCTCCATCCCAGTGGGATCATCAGCACCCCTAAATTAGCCCATGGGTTCTTTCTTGTTTCTGTCTATGTCAGAACCTGCGCTGGAGGGATTCCAGTCGCTTCATCTGGACAGAAGGCCTGCAGACACTATTTGTTTTCCAGCGTCTGGGTAAGGGCTCACGCTTGCTGAGAAAGCAGGAACAACTCTGTCACCTGCCTGAGGGACACCCCACAGCTTAGTCCCTGTGCCCTCACCTCCCTTCTTCCCGCAGCGGCTGTGCTCTATTGCTACTTCTACAAGAGGACTGCGGTGCACCTGGGTGACCCACTCTTCTACCAGGACTCGCTCTGGCTGCGCAAGGAGTTTGCTCACTTCCGTGGTTGATGGCCCCACTCCAGCTCGCTGCCCCCTCTGCAGCTCCTCACCCTGGGGGGATGGAGCCAAGAGGCTGGAGGGTCCCAGTCCCCAGATCCAGCCCCGCTGTATTCCTCTTCTTCCTCGTGGTGATCAGACCTTCTGCACTGGGAGCTGGCAGGGTGCTCGTGGCTGCATGGAGGGAGGATCCATGCCGGTGTCACAGCCCCTGGTGTGATTTGGGCGTTTTTATGAGTAGTAAGGAAATAAATTGTCTACATTTTCCAATCTGTGTGTCCTGGGTCTCTCCTGCTCTTTGCTTGTCACGCAGCCTTGGCCTGCTCGGTGTTCCGAAATTCAGGGTTATTCCCACTGGGCAATACCCCCTGGGGTTCTGCAGGCACAACAGCAAGGGGGAGAAACGAAGCGGGCGGACTGAGGATTCGAACCGGGCGTTCGATCCTCCAGGGCCATAGAGAGGGCAGGAGAGAGCGGCCGGGCGGCTTCCCGCCGGCAGCGGCGGTTCCCATGGAGATGGAAGATGGCGGCGAGGAGTGAGTGTGGGGCCGGGAGCGGGAGGCGGCGGGGAACGTGAGCCGGGCGGCGGACAGCGGGACCCCGCCCATACCGTCCCACGACCCCCGCAGGCCGCCAGCGCTCCTCGGCCCCGCTGCAGGTCCTGCTCTTTCTCAACGGGTGGTACAGCGCGACCTACTTCCTGCTGGAGGCGTTCATCTTCGCCTACAAGGGTGAGCTCCCGCCCTCCCGCTCCTCCGCCCCCCGCGCCCAGTCCTGAGCGTGGCCGTGCCCGCAGTGCTGCTGCTGCCGTACCCGCTCACCAACCTGCTGCTGGACGTGCTGCTGCTGCTGCTCTACCTCGGCATTGAGACCACGCGCATCTTCTTCGGTGAGGCCTCGTCCCTTTTCTCCCTCCTCCCAGGCCCTTCGTCACGCTGCGGGGCCTCGCACTGCTCACCCTGTGCCCTGCAGGTTCCAAGGGCAACCTGTGCCAGCGCAAGGTGCCTCTGGCCGTCTGCTTGGCCCTCACCGTGCCGGCGGCTGTCATGGCGACCTACTGCCTGCTGCTGCAGACCTACGCCCTGCGCCTGGAGGCCATCCTCAGCACCATCCTCCTGCTCTTCTACACAGCGGAGCTGCTGCTGGGTGGCCTGGCGCTCACCTCCTTCTCTAGGTAGGTGGCACAGGAGGTGAGAGAGCTCTGGAGGTTCTCCTGTCGAACCCCCTGCTAAAGAAGGTTCTCTGGAGTACGTTACAAAGGAGAGCATCCAGGTGGGTGTCCCCACCACCTCTCTGGGCAGCTCGTTCCACTAGTCTGTTACCCTCAAAGTCAAGTTCTTCCTCGTGTTCAAATGAAATTACTGTGTTCCAGTTGGTTCCCTGTTGTCCCTTGTTCCTGCCACCAGGCGCCTCTAAAAAGAGCTTGCCCCCATCCTCTTGTGCCCTACTCTTCAGATATTGATAAGCATTGATCAGATCCCCTTTCAGCCTTCCCTTCTCCAGGCAGAATGGCTGCAGGGCTCTCAGCCTTGTAAGGGAGTTGCTCCAGGCCTCAACCATCTTTGCAGCACTGCAGCAGTTTCCTATCTACTAAGAGCCAGGGAAGCCAGAACTGGTCCCATAGCCTCCTCAGGGCAGAGCAGAGGATGAGGAGAACCTTGCTTGCTCTGCTGGCCACACTCTGCACAATGTACCCCAGGGTCCTGTTGGGCTTCTTGGCCATGAGAGCACACTGCTAGTGTATGGACAAGTGTTCGTCAACTGGGACACTATTGGCATTCTTGGCCACAAAGGCACGCTGCTGGTTCGTGGCCAACCCATTATCCACCAGGACACCCAAATCCTTCTCTGCAGATCCCTTCCAGCACTGCTGTACGCAGTTACACACATAGGACCCTACACTTGCCCTCGTTGAACCTCATCAGGTTCATCCCCCACCCAAATCTTAGCCTGTCTAGGTCTCACTGAACAGCAGCACAGCCTTCTGGTGGTTGAGCCTCTCCTCACATGTCCTCCTCTGTCCTTTACAGCACAGATGCGTACTGAGACCCTGCAACAGAGGACCACAGCAGCACAGGTACACGAGATGGCAGCAAGCAGGTGGCACTGGCTACATCTCCCAGCCTGTGGCAGTGAGCCAGACCCATGCCAGCACCTGTGGCCAGTGCCAGGAGGGTGCTTCATTCTGCCTTCCCAGGCAGCGCTGGCCCTGCTGCCACCTGACCCCGAGGCTTGTGACACACAGGTCAGTTCAAGGTACAGAGAAATTTTTTTTTTTTTTTACAGCATTGTCAGAAGAAATCACTATTTTCCAATAAATATGTATTTTTACCTGGTGCCTCAGTCTATGGCATCCCCCAGGGCAGCAGGCTGGCCATAGGGTGCTCAGGGGCTTCAGGCACCTCATTACCAGTGCCAACCCCTGCCCTGAGCTAACCTGGGGGGGGCACAGAAGCTCTTGGGAAGGCACTGGAAGACTTTGGGTGGGGAGATCATGTAGGTGCTTGGCTTTTGCTGCCCATCCCTCAAATGTGGCTGCACTCCCCTACGACGCCCACACCTTCATCCCCGACAGAATCTCTTCAAAAATGCCATATAAAAGACTGACAATGTCATCAAGTTTATTACACAATTTCCAACCTATCAGAAAGACAAACAAACCTAGTCACTGCGGGCAGGAGGGGCAGCGCCTCGCCAGGTGGTTAACAGGGGTTCGCTCTGCACTTTTCCCCCCACTAATTGGAAAGAAACTATAAACTTGTGTCGTTAAGTAGAAAAAAAAAAAAAAAAAAACAAAAAAACAAAAACCAGAACTCACCCACCAAATGCTTCCCCCCAGCGTTCGCCTGCTAAGCTGGCAGGCACCTCGTGGTACTTGACAGAATTTTTCTTTTGTGTGATTTTAGCCTAAAAAAAGACCTGTGGAGCCGCGTTTCTCCTGTCCAGCAACAGTTCTGAAGGCGATGCCACCCAACTGGCATCCCGGGGTGCTGGCTGGTGGTTTGGGGCTCCTTAGTTTGCCTTAAACCCTTTGGGCTCCTCCAGTGCACAACCTTAGTTGGAGGGACCTGTATGGGGCTGTGAGCTCCTCCTGGGCCTTGAAACAGCTGTGCACAGCACTGTGCAGCCCTGCTGGGCATAGGGACCTCGTGGCCTTGTCTCTGCCACCTGTCCCAGCTTGCAAGTATACTACTGTGCGCAGAAATGCTGCTAGGAAGGGGAGACACAGTCCCTGCGTTTGCAGCTCTGCTTCCTCTAAAACAAGGAAGGCTCTGTGGGAGAGGCTGGCTTCGTGCGAGGCCCCACCAACTCCTGGCAGCCAGAGTTGCTGCTCTGGGAGATGAACTGGCTGCGATCCTGCTGTGAAAGTTGGGGCAAAGTGGGTGACCCCAGCCCAGCTCTCTTCCAGCTGAAACGGAAAGCTGCGTGCCTCTGAGCCCCCGTGCCCCCGAGGATCTGTCCATTTCCAGCCACTCCTGGAGGGCTGTGAAAGGAAAGGGCTCAGGAGCCTTCCTCCATGAAAATAAAGCACCATTTCTCTTTGGGTCCAAGTATTCACAGAGCAGAGCCCCCTGGCTTTCAGCCTCTCCTCCGGGAGCAGCAGTAGCAGTGGGTGTAAGCAAGGGCTCAGGCCCCAAGGCCACGAGGTGTCAGGGAGTCCCTTGGGTGCCCCAGAAGAGCTGTGGGTGGCGGGCAAGGGGTGAAGCAGCGTCAGTGGCGCAGTCCTGGTCAACGTGAGGAGATACGAGTCCATTAAAAACCACTTACTGAAAACTTCTGCACGAGAGAGAAGAGAAGCGAGGTCAGCACTGCAGCACCACGCGTCCCCAGCCATCGGCGCAGCGGCACCCGCTCTGGCCTCACCTGTCTCAGTGGTGCCGGTCCCTCTCTCTGTCCCTGTCCCGGTGCCGTTCGTGCTCCCGGCTCCGCTCCTGGAAATAATCCTCGTGCCGATCCTCGCTGTGCAGGACGTCCCGGTGCCGCCGACTGCTCTCACGGGACCGGCTGGGAGAGCGCTCCCGAGACCGGTGTCTTTTCCTGGGGGGAAGAAGAGCGTTTGGTGACCTGCGGAGACCCCAAGGAGCCGTGCGGCCCCTCGAGGCAGGGTACCTGGCGGAGCTGCTGCTGGAGCCTGTGCTGTAGGACTTGGCTTCGATCCCGTGCAGGCAGTCTTTGAGGGAGGAGAGGAGGACGCGGCACCGCTCGTCGTTGGCAACGCGGGACTGTTTGATGACGGCAATGGCCGTCAGGAGGGTCTCGATGGCATCGCTGTAATCACCTGTGGGGAGCAGAGGAACGGTGAGGGATGCGGCAAGCTGCAGGCTCAGGGCTGAGGGGACAACGGGGCACAGGGACGCAGTCACCGTTACCCGCACTGGCACCCGACACCGCTTTGGAAATGGCACTGCTGGAGATGGCCCGGTTCCTATTCATGATCTCCTCGAACTCCACCTCGCTCACAGGGGCAGGTGGTGGACCGAGCTCCCGGCTGTGCAGATACAGGGCGGAGGGCTCAGCGCAGCTCCCCCCGGTGGCGCCGAGCCCCCCTCCGCCCTCCGCTCACCTGCTGTGGTTGTACGAGGTCAAAGCTTTGCCGTAGGCATCTGGTGGAGGCCCCAGGGCCGTGCTGGGTGGGGGGAAGAAGGCCGGGTTGAGGTGCAGGGCCGGGGGGACGGCCCCTGGGGGGGGCACAGCCAGGTGCGGGGGCAGTCGGGGTGGAGGGGGCATGAGGTGCTGGTAGTGGATGCCGGGCGGCGGGGGGGGGACGCCAAAGCTGGAGGAGAGGGGTGGCAGAGGGGGCATGGGTGGTGGGGGCAGCCCCATGAGGGGCAGGGCAGCGGGGGGGCGGTTGAAGAAGGGCAGGATGGAGGGGGGCTTCTCCAGGCGGCCGGGCGGCAGCGCATTCTCCGTTGGTGTGGCATGGCCATCCAGCGAGTCAGAGGAGTCCCGTGAGTGGGCCCTCGGCGGCACGCCTGCAAGGGGCACGGGAAGGGCAGTGAGCTGTGGCCAGAGGTCCCGCCTGCCCCGCACTGACCTCCTCCTCTTCTTCCCTACACGCGCGTGAGGTTCAGCCTTAGGAAAGTTCAAGGTGCCCAGGGAAAGATCCAGCCAGCCAAACGTAGCCTCCACTTACGCGTGCCTCTCCAAAAGGGTCACCCGCGGCCACCCGCACAGCGTCCTGGGGACGCTCGCTTTCAGTGGCCACAGAGAGAGCGGGGATGCGGACAGGGGTGAAAAGAAATGGGGAGAGATGGCCAGAGCCCAGCTTCCTGAAGGCAATAAACAGCCCCAAGCACCTGCAGGCTGCTCAAGCAGGCAGCATGAGCATGGATGCAGGGGCAGAACCAAGTGCCAACAGCTGTAGGAAGGAAAAACTGCCCTGGAAGAGAAGGGCAGGAATCGAGGATGAGGCTTTCGGGATGAGCCAGGAGAGAAGAGGGGACAGAGCTCTGGGAAAGCTGCCGAGCCATTACGAGACCCCCTCAGGGAGGCTGAAAGTGCACAAACCCTGGCCACTGAACCACGAAGGTGGGCAGGGACACAGCCCAACAGTGCTGCCAAGCAGCAACAGGGCTAAAGGAAGAGTGCGATAGTTGCAGCTACCCCCCTGAACCTTGGCCAAAGCCTTTAGAAAGATGGGCTTTCCTTGCACGAAATGGGTCACGGGTCTACAATGAACACAGCTGGCCAAGACCTCCTCGTCCGTGCTCCTGCCAAGTCCGTCCGTGCGGGCTCTGCAGAGCCCCCCAGTGCGGGGCCAGGGCGTCACATCGCTGCGGAGTGAGGCTAGGACCATCTATGGCCATTGTAGAAAGCCCACGGCCAGGCCCCAGCTGGAATACTGTGTCCAGTGATGGGCACCTTACCTCCGCAGGGATGGACAAATTCTGGAGGAGATCCAGAGAAGAGCTACTAATAGATATGGAGGGTCTTAGCTATGTTGGTAGGCTTAAGCCCATTCAGTTTGGAGAGGAGGAAGAGGAGGCTACGAGGGATCTTCGCAGTGAGTGAGCACCTAAAAGGGGATCATAAAGACTCGGGTCAGGATCTAAGCAGACTCAGAAGCAACCGGACATAACCCCAGAGGCTGCTGGTGGTTTACCCCCACACCCCGAGGTCTTGTCCTGACGGCTCAGTGGGGCCCAGGGAGCTGCCCGCGGTGCGCCTGCACCCCACTCACGTTTGCGAGCCTGAGCCTCGAACTGGGACAGGTTCTGCCGGGTGGCCAGCCTCACCTCCACCTTGTCCCCATTGAGCACTTTGCCAGGCAGGAGCTCCAGCAGCTTGTGGACCGAGTTCTCAGAGGCCACCACCACCTCTGCGTACCTGCAAGGAGGGCTGGCGGTCAGCAGGCTCCCGGCCCTTCACCCCCTCACAGCTTGACAACCCACACCAAGCAGCACGGAGCTCGTGCCTCCATCAGTCCCCCTCCCTTTCCCAATGCCTGTGCTGTGGACAGCCCACTTTTCATCCTCCCTGCTCCGTGCCAGCTAGGGAAAGCTCTGCCCCCTCACCGCCCCCAGGAAGTGGCTATGGGGGGCCCGGCTACCCCATTCTCCCACGTTCCCTTACCCCTCAGCTCTCACCCTTTCGACTGGCCATTGGCTCGGTTCTCCGCAAACTTCAGCTCCACCACATCATACACACCCACTGAACGGATGGTCTGGATCAGCTGCTGGTCAGTTGTCCACTGTGGGGCAGCAAGGCAGAGGCTGGGATTGTGTTCAGCTCCGGCAGCCTCCCCAGCACCCCAGGCCCAAAGGCAGCCCTCCCGCTGGCTCCATGGCCTCTCAGGGCTACAAAGTCTCTTTTCCCTTAGGCCAAGCCCAGCTTGGAGTATTGGCTCAGCACAGAGGAAGGAGAACTTCTGCCCCAAGCGACCCTACGTCTCCAAAGAACCCTCACTTGTTTGTGCCTCCAAAGCACTCACCCAGGAGAAGCTGCCCACGTAGACAGCTGCCCTCTTGTTGCGCAGCCCGCTGTAGGTATACAGGATGGCAGGGGCTTTGCTGTTGGGTTTGGGGGGGGGCCCCCGCGCGGCGCCCGGGGGGGGCCCCAAGCTGCCGGTGCGGCTTTCGGGGGGCTGCGAGCTGGCAGTCAGCACGTCGTCATACAGGTCCATCTGGTCAGCATTACTGAACTCGGAGTCCTGCGAGGGGAGAGACGGTTAAAGGGAAGCTGGGGTTGATACTCTGGCTAAGGAAGGGCTCTCTGGGTTGTTAGGGCACACAGGGGGCTACGTGAACTGCCCTGTTCTACTGAAACACTCCCAGCACCGCCCAGTAGAAGCCAATTCTCAGCCCTATGGAGTGTCACATCCCAAAGCCTTCTGCCGTCCCCAGGGCCACCTCCTCCACTTTCTCCATAACTGGCTTGCTGGCTGTGACCTCAGCAACTGGGCAAGATCCAGCTTGTTCTATGCACCAATCTCATCAATGCAGAAGCAGAAACCAAACGCCTCAGGGCTGAGCCTCCTACTCCCTCCAGCAGGTACCAGACCCCTCCTTGCTCGCAGGCAGTTCCATCACCTGGTTCCACCAGCACAATTGCACTCTCTTCCAGGCCACCAACTTTCTCCGTGCGCTCTCCGCAGTAGTTCAGCCTTTAGGATGAAGCTGTGACTGAGGAAGCTCACCAGCTCCCGGGCAGCACAAACCCAGAGATCTGCCTCAGCACTGCAAGGGCTGATCCCTCCCCTCTCCAAGTCCTCCAGAAAGCCACCCTCTGACCCCTGAGGCCATCTCCACATGCAGAAGATGCCACTCTTCGTCAGCAGGCAGCCCTAAGGTTCAGAGAAACCCGGTACGAAACCATATCCTCTCTGATGCTCTCTCCTTGACAACCGTTCCTAAAGAAAGCCACAATTTTTGGCATTAGGCTCCTTTGGCTGATAAAAAGGTTACAGAAATTCCAATAGGGAGTTATTTTTGTCCTCATTCTCTAAACAGCCCCAGTTCCTCTGCCTCCCACATTCCTGCCCCAAGGCCTGGAAGCTTTCTGCTTGTGAGAGCTCTGGAGAATAGGAATAGGTGCTGGGGCAGGGATCGCTCAGGAGCTGCTGTGACATGGGAACTCTCATAGCTCCTCTGGGTTTGCTTGTGTTTTGATGTTCCCCTTTACAAAGATCCTAGCAAGGCAACACTGAACCTGCAGAGCTGCCCATTGCCACCATCTTTCCTCCAACCACAACCAGCTCCAGTTTCTGAAGCTTCCATCCATCCAGCTGTGCTACAGCACCCTTTGTGCCCCACACCCCAAACTCTCTGTGGTTATGCTTTTCCACAATGCCTTCCACGGGTTGGGCTCACACTGTCCCTCTCAGTTTTGCCCCTAAAACTCCCAGTCTAGAGCAGCCCCTCTTTTTCTTCAGCTCTCACTTTAGCATTCCACAGAACTGCTGTAGAGTTTCTCCATTATTTTCTATTCTGGAATTACAGCCCTACAACCTCGGCATGCCTACTTTTCCCTCCCCCAGTCACCTCTCCCAAGCTCCATGGATACTAACTACCACCAAACTGCCCAAGAACCCCTAAACTGAGCAGAGAACAGCAACGGAAACTACTCTAGGAGGAGCTCACTGCCCTTTGAGGCCACTTCCTCACTCTGAGAGCTGTTCCAGTGGGGCCCCTAGACATCCAGGGCCCACTCTTCGCAGTAAGAGCAGTCCCAGGGGAATTCCCCGACCCACGGGACCGATCCCAGCCCCACGTGTGCCCCCAAACCCACTTTTTTTTGCCCAGACCCCCTCTGCGTGCCTCCCCCTCCCAACCTCCACACCTGGTTAAACTCTTCGTCAGCGTAGATATCAATCAGGTCCACTCCCTCCGACATGTTCCAAGGCGAAGAGCACACCGAAGGGGCTCTGCGGCGAGGAATGAGTCACCACAGCACCCTTACTGCCCCCATCACACCCCCTCAGGGCCCTGCCTGCCCCGAAACGGGCCCTGCGAGCACAACAGGCCCCTCGACCAAAGCACGAGCCTCCCCCACCTCACGTCCCCTCGCTCGGGATTTAGGGATGAGGAAGGGAGCGGGGGTCCCACGTCCCCCACCCGGTGAGGCCCCCCCCGCTGTAGGCCCCAAACTCCCGCGCTCCCGCGCCAACAGCGCTCACCGCCACCTCCAGGGCCGCCACGCCACGCCCCTTCCTGCTTCCTCCTCCCACCTTTGACACGCCCCTTCCGGCTCCCGCCCGCATTTGCCGCGCCCCTTTCCGCTTCCTCCTGCTTTCGTCACGCCCCTTCCGGTCCTCCCTGCCTGCCATAGAGTCGAGAGGGCTGGGTGTGCAGAACGCCCCCTGGTGGTGGTGGGGTTGGGAGGAATCATGGCGATGAGCAGGGTGAGGAGGGGCTGCGGGCTGACGAAGGCTGTAGGAAGGATTTTTGGGGGGCGAATTGGGGATACCGGGGCGAGGGACTGGGGGGCAGTGAGGAAAGTGGGAGTGGGCTTCTGCTTTGGCGCTGTGTGTGAGGACTAGGGCTTGAAGGGAAATAGGGGGGAAATGGGGGAGAGTTGGGGCCTAGAGGGGAACGGGGAGGGGATTGGGGCTAGAGAGGAACGGGGGAGGAGGGGGATTAGGGCCTAGAAGGGGAGAATAGTAAGAGAATGGGGCCTAGAGGGGGGATGGGGGGTGGGGTGGGGGCCTGGGGGGGAAACGGGCAGGAGTAGGGCCTCGTGGGGAATGTGGGGTAATTTTGCATGGGGAGAAATGGGGTCTGTATGTGGGATGGAGGAGATTGGGAATGGGGGAGCCTGAAGACTTGCTGTGGAATTGTGGTTTCTGACCAGAGGGGAATGAGGGGTCTGGGGGGTCCTATGAGGGATGGGGGCATTGGGATCTGCAGAGGAAATGGGGACAAAGTAGGGCTTGGAGGGCATTGCTGCCTGGGGGAGAATACAAGGGGATTGGTGCTTAGAGGGGATTGGAGTCTGTATATAGGGTGGGAACATCAGGGCCTGTGGAATGAAGGGGTTTGGAGGCAGTGGGGCTGTGTGGCATGGGAGTAGACTGGGGTTTCTGAGGACTGGAAGGGGATGAGGGGTCTGGGGGGAAGGTCCTATGAGGAGTGTGGAATGGGGCAGCGAAGTCTGGGGGTGAAATGTGAAGCTGAGTGTGGACATAAGGGGGACGTGAGAGGATGGAGCCACGAGCAGGGTAGGAGGGATTGGAGCCTGGAGGGGGAATGAGGGGCAATGGGTGGGGTCGGGGGCTTAGCAGGGCCTGGGATGTGTCTTGTGTTGGGGAATAGGTGGGCTGTACGTGGAATGGGGGTGACTGGGGGTTGTGGGGCTCTGCTAGGGCTCTCCTCATCTTTTCCCATCTCCTTGGCAGCTGTGCTCGCTGCCCCACTGCACACCGCGCCGCCCAGCGCTGGCAATGCTGTGCGTGCCACGTGGCTACAGCGGGGCATCGCTGGGCGACTCAGGGAAGGACATGCTGGAGATCCCACTGCCGCCCTGGAAGGAGCGCCCCAATGAGCCTCTGCCCACCAAGAGAGCGCGTCTGCTGTATGAGAGCAGGAAGAGGGGCATGCTTGAGAACTGCATCTTGCTCAGGTGGGGCCTTGCACAGACAGTGACAGGGCAAAGGCAGGAAGGAGCTTTTTCTCAGGCTGGAGGTTGTGTCCCGCTTACCCCCATGTATTCTCCTGCAGCCTTTTTGCCAAGGAGAACCTGAGCCGTATGGATGAGCGGCAGCTGAACCTCTATGACCGGCTCATCAACGAGCCTAGCAATGACTGGGACATCTACTACTGGGCCACAGGTACGTGTGCACTTCATGTGGGTGACTTGGGGCAGCGCTGAGCTGCTCTCCTACGCTCTGCCTCTTATTTGCAGAAGCCAAGCCCACGCCGGCTGTGTTCGACAACGAGGTGATGGCCATGCTGAAGGAGCTTGCTAAGAACAAGAAGAAGGAGCAGAGGCTACGGCAGCCAGACCTGGAGTACCTCTTTGAGTCCACAAACTGACAGCTTCTCCCTCAGGGCACGACAAATAAAGCTGTGACTGCTAGCTCCTGGTACAAGTGTCCGCTGCCTCCAGGTACTCAGGCACAGTGGCTCACCCCACAGCTTGCCATTCCCCCGTCTGTTTGTCTGTCCCCATACCAAGCTGTGGTCTCTGCCCCACCGCTCAGCCACCATGGGACCAGGCATCATCTTGGCGTGGCACTGTGGTGACCTCATGGATTTCTGTGCCGTTTCACGGGGGCTGCAGGACCCCCGCATGGGCCAGGATGGTGGGATCCCTGAAATACAGGGAGCCGTGCTGGAAATGTTGTGTCGGGGGGCTCAGCCTACAGCTGAGGGGAGGGGCACGAAGTAGGGGGGGCGTGGCATCGGGTGGTGGGCGTGGCCTGTGGTGTAGGGGCGTGGCTTTTCGGATTGGCTCTGCGCTGAGAGGGCGTGGCCTAGGAGCGCGGGGGCGTGGCCTAGGAGTGCGGGGCGTGGCCCTCGGCCCCGTCCCCAGCTGTACTGCGTTGCTCGGGTGCCGGTGTCTTCAGTCGGAGGCGATGGGCAGTGGCGGCTCCACGTGTCCCATTTCGGCTGAGGGCCCGGCGGGCGTGGAGCAGCGCCTGGAGGCTCGGGGCGGGCAGCTTCCCCCGGCGCTGTGGGCACAGCGTGGGCTTCGCAAGCTGTACCTGAGCGGTGCTGGGCTGCGTGACGTGCCGGCCGAGCTGGCATCCCTGCGGCACCTCCGCACGCTGGCGCTGGATGGCAACGAACTGATGGAGGTCCCCGAGGCCCTGTGCCAACTGCCCTGCCTGGCGTACCTCTACCTGGGCCGCAACGGGCTGCAGGGCTTGCCGCCTGCCTTCAGCCACCTGCAGAGCCTGCGCTGCCTCTGGCTGGAGGGCAACTTCGTGGGTCGCTTCCCCCACGCCCTGCTGGGCCTGCCCGGCCTACGCAGCCTGCAACTGGGAGACAACCGTCTGGCACGCCTGCCCTCCTGCCTGCCCCGCATGGCCGGCCTGCAGGGCCTCTGGCTGTACGGCAACCGTTTCCAGCACTTTCCCCCGGTGCTGCTGCGCATGACTCAGCTCCGCATCCTTGACCTCGATCGCAACCGCATTGCCCGCTTCCCTGACCTGCAGTGCCTGGCCGGCCTCTGCCTGCTCTCCTATGACCACAACCCCGTGCGGCAGCCGCCCTGCGTGGCTGACACGGTGCGGCTGGTGGGCAGCGGGGCCGTGGAGTACATGGAGGCGCGGGAGGAGCGGCTGCGGGAGCAGCAGCAACTTGAGGAAGAGGAGGCGGAAGGCACTGGGACGATCCCGCAGGATGATGGATCCCCGCTGCTGCAGGACGCGCCGTGAGGGATTGTGGAGACGCTGAGCAGCAGATCTGAGGAGCTCAGGGTGCCTTGGAGCATCCCAAATAGACACAGGGCTCAGCTTTTGGATGGAGGAAGCGTCACTCCACTCTGACCGTGCGACGCCTCTGCCCCAAGAATGGGCAGTGCAGCGCTGGGTACCTTTTATGGTACGTCCTCGGTGGATTCTCTCTGCTCCTGGCTCCTTGGCTGAGGAGGGAGAAGGAGTCACTGGTCCCACTGCCCATTGAATTTTGGGATGGACACACAAAGTTCTTCTGCGTGCTGAGCTCCCGTTCTCCAGATTTTTGGAAGAAGGCAATGGAAAACCTCACCTGCAGCCTTCACCATGCAGAGGAGCTCTATGCTGTGCCTTAGAAGAAGTACTGAGGCTCACGGTCCACAGCTGTGTTTGGCAATAAAAAGCACAAATCTGGTGTGAGAAAAGCAGTGGGGTCAGTTCTCAGGGCAGGGGGGTTGTTGGGGAAGGGTTATGAGTGCAGTGCGTGGCCTTATTCTGATTTGTGTGTCGGGATGCATCCCCATCCCTAAGCTCTTGGGCTCACCGACTGCACATCCACTGCTAATTACAGGGGGTTGGGGTTGGAGGCCGGCAGCCAGCCCGCGTGCCTTCCACATCCTTTTTCCTTTACAGCTATTTTCTGGGCTGCAGGGAAGCAGTGGGATGCCTGGGAGTGCTGGCAGCCCTGCCACAATGGGGGTTGATAAAACCTAACGTGGGGCTTCGGTCGCCTTTTTGGAGTCTGGGTCTGCCCCTGGGGAACAGGGGCAGGGCACAGAATGCGGGTGGTCCTGAGTGTCACCAGCCTGTGCCTACAGCTTGTGATGCTTGCAGAGGTCTCCAATGCCTTTTCCCCCCTGCATTCTAATTCCCCATCCCTCTCAGCTTTGGGATATGTGCTGGGATGGGGCTGGGATCCAGGACCTGCTGCAGGCATCGGAAGTGTTTTGGGTGCCGGCCCTGTTGCAGTGCATCATCCATACGTCTGTCTCTATATATATCCCTCTCCGCCTGCTCACAGATCCCCATACGTGTTTTGCAGCTGGGAACGTGCTGCTATTTCCATCTGCTCCCGCTGACTGCAGGCGCTGGGGATCACTGCGGAGATGCCACAGGAATCCAGGCTCTGCCGTAGCCCTGCTGCTACCAAGGGCTCCACGCTGCCAAAACTTTGAGCTGTGGCTCAGCAGGGTGCAGCCCTAAGCCAGTGGCACCAGGGAGCTGCTTTGTCCCCTGGTTTGGCACTCAAGAGGAGCCATGTTCCCAAGGTGCCGACTGCATCGCTCTCTGCCAGCCCTGCATCTGGAATTTCTTTTATTTATTCAAGAGCAGCGTCCGCACAATTATTTATCACAGCAACTTGAGCCTCGACCATGCTGCCAGGCTGCCGTTTTTCCCCTGTGCTGGGGACAGGCGCTGTGCTGGGCATGGTAGCTTTGTGCCCTGTGTGTACAGAACCTCCTGGGGGAAATGAGCCCAAATCTCACCCTGTAACCCATTCCAAGGATCATCCACAACCCATCCGCAAACCCATCTTAAAATCTATTCCCTAAACCCATTCCCAAAACCCCATTCCCTTACCCCATCATCTTTAAATCTGTTCCCTAACCCTATTCCCAGGCCCCATCCCAAAACCCCATCCCCAACCCGTTCCCAAACCCCATCCCCAAAACCTGTCCCCATCCCCCATCCCCATAC